CCCCCCCCCCACAAAATTAAGGTTTGGCTACGCCACTGGTTATAGCTGTACGATTATAGCTACAAAGGCTTGAAGTTATTGTTTAAAGTAAAGTATAGCTGAAGTTAATAAATTAAAGTTTTACAAAATCTCTCTTCAGACTCGCACGTTCGCCCACTGTGGTTCGCCAAACCTCGACGGCTCATATTTTTCGTTCTGCCTTTTTTTCCTGTTTTGCCCCCCCCCCCAGTGAAAATTCCTTAAAAAAGGCACTGGAAGTGTCTAAAGTTTGGACTCGCGCGTCCCACGCGCGAACATAAATAATTCTAAATTATGACAGTTTCCGACAAGAAAATAGTCGAATTACGGTATAGAAGCAATATTGTAGTGTTTTAATTAATATAAAACGGTATATTAAAAATATCTATATTAAGTGTTATGATATTGTGCATTTGCAAAAGGGGTATGTCACTCTGTAAGATTATTACAATTATCTATTCAAGGTGTTTTTGAAAATTTAAATTTGAATATTACTAAAAAAAGTAACGTCATTTGCAAAAGGGGTATGTCACTCTGTAAGATTATTACAATTATCTATTCAAGGTGTTTTTGAAAATTTAAATTTGAATATTACTAAAAAAAGTAACGTCAAAAACTATATATTAAATTTTGAAAATCTACTCTTCAAACAACAGTTCATGAAGTTTTATCGATGCTTTACACATGCTTTAAATAGTACCTCAATAATTGTAAATATGCTAAATATTGGAATAATATTATTATTAATAACTGAAGTCCGTGCACGCCAACACTTTTATCTAAATAATTGCAATACAGTGGATTTCTTTTCAACACGTATTTAAATCTTTCTTTGCCTTTGGCTAGAAATTTAAAGAAAAATTCATTAGGCTAACCTATATTCTCGCATTTCCCCATTCCCGTTCCCTATTTTAAAGATAGCCGATTCGCATTCGTTGTTTGGTTTACGATCGTAACGTCGTCGGTATAAGACACTTTGCTATAGTTATATGTAGAAGTTCACGTTTGAAATTTAACATAAACAATATATCACTCCTCGGCTCACTGTGACTGTGAGTCGTTGTGAGATACGCATGCTCTAAGGGACGGACCATTAGAAAAGTGATGAGGGGGGGGGGGGATTTTCTAAGAGGCAATATATTTTTTTTGCACACCTATAGAAGAAATTTTTTTCTCACTTGATGACTGGAAATTTTTTTTAAGTGAAATTTATAGGCCTATCTTCCAAGCTAGGAATTTTTTTTTGCACTATGCCTGCTGGGAAGATTTTTTTTTCCTAATTTTTTTCTGGGAATAATTTTTTTTTGGTTTTGCCCCCCGCCCCCGCATCACTTTTCTAATTGTCCGTCCCTAAATCAAACAAATACCGCACGTGACCGTTGAAAATGACAAAATTATGGACATAGTTCTGCAGGCGGCAGGTGTATATTATATATGAAACGTTCTCTATTTAGTTTATTTTTACATTCATGCAATTTTCGACATGCAGACAACATTTAAAAGGAAAATCAGCAAGTTCTCGTGAAACCAGAAAGCCGAGTTTGCAAGTTATATAATAGATCAGTTAATAAATGCATCCAAATACCACCATTAACGCACTATTTTTGTGCCTTGTAAATGTTTCCTTCATGATTGCAGGGATATTCCTGAATTCCGTGGTTATAATCAGTCTACGAAATCAGTCACAACTTCGAAAGAAATTATGCTACTTTATGATCCTTGTTTTATCTGCTTTTGATCTAGCTGTTGTCACCATCATTCATCCCTTGTTAGTATTATCAACAATTTCCTGGGCTCTAGAAGTCGACGATGAACTACATAAACATATAAGGATACACACATCCCTCTTGCTACACGGTTTTTCAATGCTCGCGCTCTTGATGCTGAATGTTGAACGTTTCTTGGGGTTAACGTATCCAATTTTCCATCGAACATCAGTTACTAAGAATAAGCTTCTATTTGTTTTGATAATTTTGATGATTTTATCAGTCGGCCTATCCCTATTAATGTATTACAAGAGAACACTGGGAAATATTCTCTTAGCATTTTTTATGTCAATTTTCGTGTTCTTGGTAACTTATTTTAACTATAGAATGTTTACTATCGCGAAGTCGAAACGCAAGCCGGAAAGGATTGCTCCAACTACATCTACGTCAGGTGATCAGAAAAGGAAAAGACACAAAGTAAATTTCAAAAGAATTTCAACATGCTCCTTGGTAGTTGCCTGTTATGTCGTCTGCTCCTGTCCTCAGATTATATATTCTAGTCTCCGTTTTCTATCAGAAACGCCTTTGTACGATAGACGAGTTTTGTTACAGAACTTGTGGTGTGCTTCGTTTCTCTCTATGAACTCTACATTCAATTGTTTGATATTTTTCTGGAGAAACTCAATTTTGCGTCGTCAGGGAATGAAGATAGTAAAGCGTTTTTGGCGTATATCTTGACTCTGTTGCTTTAGCTTTAGTGATAAGCTGATTAGACTAAAAAGCAATATCGCAAGGGGAAGTGCTGCCGTATGCGGCCATATTCTGATATGGAGATATAACATTGGCCTTTATTGCAAAAGATAATGCGAAAAATTAACTGTTTGTCTGCATTTCTGTTGCCAAATCTCCAAATTCCAATTAAAGAAATAGTATATGATAATAGTATGTTTTCGAGTTCAATGTGGAAAAAACATGCAGATGACTTTTGTCCAAAGTGCATCTTCTTGTATTTAAATAGTCATATCCAAATACGATTTTCAATTGACAGTACACAGACAGGTTGGAAATTTGTCTACGTATCCGCGATGGCGCACGATAATTTCGTGCACCCATAATTGCGAGTTTCAATTTCCAAGGTGCATGGGATATTCTGTTTCCCCGAGTATTGAGGTTTGACGTTAATATTTTAATATTATTTTTTGGCGTGATTTAAAGAATTGAAAAGGTTTACTTCACAACAGTGTTCAGTGTAACGACCGTGAAAAAAACCTATAAGCATACCGGCGGAAAAGATTTAGGGTGCCGGACAAAAATTTTCCCGACATTGATGGAAATTGCCCAACATGCACATAATCATAGATTTATGATAAATGAATAAAAGTTGATTAGAAGTAGCACATCTCTTATTCATGCAGACGCGTGGGAACAATGTCAATCAAATTTTAATTAAAATATATAGAATGAGAATTTCGAGGAATTTATTAATTTGAATTTGATGAATATTAGAAATTTGTCATTCAATCAGTTTCTCTGACTTTATAAATATTAATATCTCGAAGAGGCAACCTAGGAAATTGCCCGATTTTTAAGTAGAATCTGCCCGATCATAGACACTGACGTATGTTGTGCGGGTAACACCCCGATGTTTGTTCATAAGTAATTCCAGGTAATTTAAGTTGATTTTTAGGTAATTTATTCGAGCTTTGACAACAAAAGTAAAAGTTAGAAGTGAAAGTGAACTAAGACCTGTTTCGTACGTCGAATAAAATGGTTTCGTTTCAAACGACGAGTTTAATTCAGACGAATTCATTTTGACTATAGCAATTATGGATTACCCAGAAATAAAAACCACGAGATCAGAAAGAGAGGAATAGACTTTAACATAATTTATGCATTTAATTCGACACAACGATAAGACGTCGAATGACGAAGACGCGCTACAAACGTTGTATCCGTCTGACCATGAAGGAAAAAAACGTCTTGGACGAATTTAATTCATCAGACGAATTTAATTTGTTAAATATGATGCACTACCGTCGCATTTAATTCGTTCAACTAAATGCATCTGAATTAAATGAGGATAGTGCGACGTATGAAACAGGCCTAAGAACGCCAAATTATAGTTACGGCATTTCTGAGGGATGAAATATTCAATATTTTCTTTGGTGAGCATTGCCCGAACATCCCTTGATAAATTTAGCCCCGTACCAAGTGAGCTAATATTTTTTTCGGAATAAACACTTGCTTATTGATGAAAAACCACACTAAATTTCAAACGTTGCTTTTAGGTAACGTATACTAATTTTTAAACGTAATTTAAAACATCGGGTAATTTGGACCCTTACACCACTTCGCTGCAACGCTGAGTGTCAACATTTCTAAAGTAATAGTGACAATAGTGACCTGCACCATCTGTTATACTCTCTATAACGCATATACTAAAACCTATCAATTAAATTATAGCTCTATACTTAGTAGTTTTACTTATTACAAGCGATACTTTTCAATCAAGAGAAAGAACGTCCATCTGTTTTATAAAGGAAAGCTTATAACATCGATAATTCTTTCTTATGATTTTGAACAAAAGTTTCAAAAGAGCAAACTTTGGGATTGAGTTTCTTCGTGACTTCCACACTTCGTTCGATGCCTTCTTGATAGAACTGAAACATGCTCGCCATTTCAACTCCAGCTGGGTGTGGAAGGATGGAGTGACGCTCCAGCGATTGCTTTGTGTCCTGTAATAATTAATTAAATAATTAGTCAGTAATTAACCGCCATTTTATCAAACTAATTGCTAACAATTAAATAGTTATAGTACTTAGTGCAGCAACCAATAAAGATCAATATCTATGTATTTAAATATCATTTAAAAATAAATAAATAGCGACAGGTTATCAAATAATGTGAGCGATAAACAAATAATTTATGAATTACATTAACAATTTAATATACCCAATTCGGCCACACACTGGGGCCTGAGCCTGGTCTTCAAGTTTGTCTTCAAATTTCCGTTTTGAGGTAGCGTTCCAGTTATATTCATTTCAATACATAGTCCTCATTGCCAGGAGTGAAGGAGGCAAAGACTTAAAATCATGTAAGAAAGCTTGGGAAATCGTTTCATGCACAATAAATTGTAAAACATTTTTTTTCAATTTTTACGAAACAATACGAATTGATTTAGTATATGGGAAATCCTGAAGCATATATAGGGTAAGTTTGTTCTTACTGTTTATATGTATATTAGTTTGTTGTTCAAGTTCTTAAATTAACTTAAAATTACGGGAACCACTGAATATTTTAATAAAATATAAAACAACGATAACTCCGAAAATAAACATTTTAATATTCTAGCTTTCGACTAAGATTCATGCAGTCATCATCAGGAACGATGCTAGGTTACATTACATATATATATATATATATATATATATATATATATATATATATATATATATATATATATATATATATATATATATATATATATATATA